AACGCAGATAGCGACACTTCTTCTGATGCCTGCAAACATGATGCATCACGTTTTCTTTTTCGATTCCAAAACTTCTCGGAAAGCGAGAAAACCACCAATCACACACGTATAACCGTCCGGGAGGCAGAGTGCCAGCGCTAATCTGGCAAAATCAGCGAACGCACGCACAAAACAGAAATAAACTTATACACAACCGTATCCGAACAGGTTCGAAGCTGAACTGATGTGTATACTAGTGCCACGTGATGAAAAAATCTGAACTTCTGTTCACCAACGAAAAGATCTTGATTTACTGAACAGCTTTGCCTAAGACATTTACTTTCTATCTGGTCAGGATCCATCGATACTAGCGCTACGTAGTGAATACATTCTGAACTATTGTCCACCATCCAAAAGGGCTGAACCTCCTGAACAACTTTGCCCAAGACCAGTGTTGGCAAAATCAGAAATCAATTGATATTTTGCCGCTCTCATGCGCTCGCAATATCACGCGTGATATTGGAACAAAATATCATGCTTGATATTGATTTTACCAGCTCCTTTGATATTGCGAAACTATTCACAATGTGCAAAAATCAAGTTGAGAGATAACTCGACACAAAAATGATTCCATTGCACATCGTTTTTTTTTTTAGAAAGAGAAAGCATGGTTTGCTATTTCTTTTTAATCTTCACCGATGGCAGACGCGAAGGGACTGCTGCAAGCCGTTATGGAAGTTTCGGTTGCATTCGGGTGTAAAGCAAAAATCATTAAACTCAATCTCACCACAGTTTGGTGAGATTTGCAGTTGGTGAGTTTTGTTAGCTTGATATTTCGAGCTGCGATATCATAGCTTGCAAAGTTAACCGCTGTAGTTTGCTTGTTGATTTTTGTCTACGAAAATCAAGCGTGATCTTGGGAGTTGGTGAGATTTGATTTTTTGATATTTTCCCAACACTGCCCAAGACAGTAACTTTCAACTGGTCAGGATCTCGAGATATTTTATAGGCGAGAATTTTACGTGTATACTAGCGCCGCGTAGTGAGAAAATTCTGAACTATTGTGTACCTAGCAATAAATTATCTTCTGAACAACTTTGTACAAGACAGACAACAGACGTGACGTCACGTCTGTTGCTTCATAAGAAGACGCGAGTACGAAAGAGTCCACTAGTTTCCTTTCTCCTCACCTCTTATACCGCACATCGGAATGATATCGGGTACAGAACTGTCAAACTGCATAGTTTTTTCTCGCTTTGACAGTTGTGTCCCTATTAGATGTAAGGAAAAGATGTTTCGACAGCAACGACAGCGCTATTCTTCCTCTATAGTTTATTAGCTCTATTGTAACTCACCAACAAAATGGTAATGGCCCTTCATCCCAGAAAGTATAAGCACAGTTAATTATTGGAATAAAACAACGCTAATGTTAATGAACTGAATGAATAAATCTATGACCTTCAACCTCGCAACTTCGAAGTCGTAGCACTGCAGGAACTTTGCTGGACGGGATAAAAGGTATGGAAAAGCGGGCACCAACTAGCTGGGAACCGGCTTTGTAGTGCTGGGTAAGATGCGCCAATGCGTGATTGGTTGGCAGCCGATCAACGCGAGGTTGTGCAAGTTGAGGATAAAGTGCCGTTTCTTCAAATACAGCATCATCAACGTGCACTGCCCACACGAAGGGATACCCGACGACGAGAAAAAAGCGTTCTATGCGCAGCTGGAGCAGGTGTACAACGGCTGTTCGCAACGGGACGTCAAAATCGTCATCGGCGACATGAACGCTCCTGGGGGGACGTGCTGTCAAATCAGCCTACTGATCATCTTGTATGAAACTGGTTCCAAACGTAAACAAACGCTATAAGTTTCTTATGGCTTGTTTACGTTTGGAACCAGTTATGCGAGGAAGGCGACGATTGTTCGTATTTGACAGCCACCTCCCCCCTTGGAACGCTCAGGTAGGACGGTAGGCAATGTATAGACCAGAAATCGGGCCAAACAGCCTGCATGACGTATCGAACGACAACGGCCAACGATGCGTGAACTTTGCAGCCTCTCGGGGTATGGTAGTTCGAAGTACCTTTTTCCCCCGCAAGGATATCCACAAAGCCACCTGGAGATCATCTGACCAACATACAGAAAACCAAATCGATCACGTTCTTATCGACGGGAAATTGTTCTCCGATATGCGAACATAGCTTCGGACCACTACCTAGTTTCAGTATGCATGCGCTCAAAACTCTCGACGGTGCATAACACCCGTCGAAGTCGAACACCGCGGCCCAACATTGAGCAACTACGGGACGCCGGAGTTGCCCAGGACTACGCGCAGCCGCTGGAAGTTGCACTACCCACGGAAGAGTAGCTTGGCGCAGTTTCTCTTGAAGATGGCTGGAGGGACATCCGTTCAGCCATTGGTAGTACTGCTGCAGCGGTACAATGTACCAACAATCAATACGAAACTAACGATTTTAAATTGGCTCACCACTTTAGTAGCCTATTGGTCCCAAGCAAACGATTAACGTACCCTATTCTAGTTGAAATTCTATTACTACACTATGTTTGTTTTGATTAGCTATGAAAGTTTGACAGATAACATCAGGGGTGTGTGGATTCATGCAGAACATGCAGGGGTGAGTGAAATAGCTTGGGACTGCTTGGGACCGTTGTTCTGCCAAAAATAATAATGATTTTCTTCGGGACCCAGTGGTCTTAGAGTTACCTCTATGAATGTACTGCGATCCTGGACCGAAGAAATGACTACAAAAATGTAAAATGGAAAAGTAAATTTCGACAGTGATCATGCATAAGGGCGAATACGCGATGATCGATTCTCTTCATCGACTTTCTCTTTGCATTGCTACAGCTAAGCGAAACAATTTTCTAGAATTTGTTCAATGCAGAGTAGTAACAACAATCAATACGAAACTAACGATTTTAAATTGGCTCACTACTTGACTAGCCTATTGGTCCCAAGTAAACGATTAACGTATCCCATTCTAGTCGAAATTCTAGTACTACACAATGTTTGTTTTGATTCGCTATGAAAGTTTAACAGATGAATGGAAGGGTTCGTGGATTTTCCTATGTTTCGAGCGGTGAGTCGATTAGCTTGGGACCGAAGATAGTACCAGAGCTGAGCCAAAAAGTTATGCACTGTTCTTCGGGACCTTCTGGTCTTAGAGTTACCTCTATGGTAGTAACAGGTTGTATTGGCTATCAAAAGGAACAGCAAACGCACCGAGAAACGTTAAATCTAGCGAGTTATTAACAAAAGAGAAAATCGACGAAGAGAATCGATCATCTCGTTTAGGCCCTTATGCATGCTCACTGTCGATTTTTACACAATATAATGAATATTTCCAATTAGTATTTGGCGTCAGATTACCAGCTTTAGTTGGCGTTGCCGACACCGTCGAAAAATCTTCTCTCCCAGCAAATATTGATACACTCAAAGATAAATTAAATCATAAAAGCTTAAAAAGTATGCAGTTTCCCGCTTCACCTTATTGAGTCCGAGCCATGATTACTTCGGCAATAGTCATGCATGATTAAAATCGAAATAATCTTTCCAGTATTAAATTTTATTCTTTTTGAATACTGATATATAATCAAAAAAGATTAAAATTCAATCATAAATTATTAAAATAGAATCTAAAATGATTAAAATTTATTCAAAAAAAGATAATCTACAATCTAATCAACCATGATTAAACTGGGATTAATATCAGATGCTTATTTTTTAATCATTCGATATGATTAAACTGAGTTTAATGTCAAATTGATTAAATTTCAAGCAAAATGGGAATAGTTCAATTTATCAGTGTAGTTTCTTATGGGAATTTTCAGTGAAGTGACAGGGTAGTACGAAGTCTGCCATGTTTCACGCACAGTCTGACGTTTGCTTATGGATTTTACCATAGGAGTAAAGAGCTGTAGAGTCGCCGTCATCGCCAATAGCATGCTCTGGCTGTCAGTTGCGTCTAATTCTCGATGAACATTTCAAATGGTCCTATCTGCATTGATCGATTCTCTTCATCGACTTTCTCTTTCGTCAATAACTCAGCTGCAAAACCTTTCCCTGTTGTATTTGACATTTTGGACGCTAGATAAGAACCTCCTTTATCAAAATATGTGGTAGAATTAGCGCAAAATCTGTTTGCATAGCAGTGGTTATGAAAAGAGAAAGTCGATTAAGAGAATCGATCAAAGCAGATAGGACCATTTGAAATGTTCATCGAGAATTGTTTTCCTAGAAACGGTAAAAACATGATATCGACAGTGAGCATGCATAAGGGCGTAAACGCGATGATCGATTCTCTTCGTCGATTTTCTCTTTTGTTAATAACTCGCTAGATTTAACGTTTCTCGGTGCGTTTGTTGTTGCTTTTGATAGCCAATACAACCTATTACAACTCTGCATTGAACATATTCTAGAACATTGTTTCGTTTAGCTGTAACAATGCAAAGAGATATATTATAATCGATTCAAACTCATAATACACGATGAATGAGAACGACCCAAATTAGAGTTTAATTCACTCATAATCGCCAAAAGTGCAGGAACTCGCAGCGATGAGTAAATTTTCCGCTGAGATAAACGTTGAGGAACTTCCTGCACTTTATGTGATTTGGGTCGTTCTCATTCGCCGTGTAGAATAGCATAATTTGCTTCATTTGATTTGATTTTCCTTCAAATAGGGTATGCATTAAGTATAGGAAAAACGTGCCGAAAGAGGGGAGGGCTTAAATTTTTCCTCACTTAATGCATGGCCCCAAATGCAAAAACAATTCTTGACAAAAATGGGCATACTAGGGTATAGCATTAATTTCACACTAGGGTAAATAAACCATTCCAAAAAGAAGAAGCCTACCCGTCCGCCCTATGATAATTAATTTATAAATACCGTCCTGGCTATCCTGATTGAAAGTCAACCAATCACACCCACCGGGGGTATTCTGTTCGTTCCAGTCAATCTGATTAGGATTTTTCATCTTTCTTTCTCCCTTTCCAACAGGCAACAGTGAAACTGGCAAACTTACCAAGGACCTCGTGGATGGTGATTGCAAAAACGGCGTCGACGGTGGCGTGGGGGCCACCGGGGAGGACGTCGTCCTGGCGATGACCACCTTCGGTCAGATCAAGGCTGCCTCGCGAAAACCGGGCCACTGCATGGACCTGGCCGACTCCGATCAGCGGGAAACATGGTCCGGGAAGGTGGACTTTCTGCTCTCGGTCATCGGATTCGCCGTCGATCTGGCCAATGTGTGGCGCTTTCCGTACCTGTGCTACAAAAATGGTGGCGGTAAGTTATATAATTCCTTCTTACATTCTCCTGTCCTGTAAATGGGTTCTTTCTACGCTCTTTGACGACACGGCGTGTGTAATAATGTGTGAAAAATGGAAAGCAATCACCGTGAATAGCGGAGCGGGTGGAGAAATATGTTTTATGTGTGAACTACTCGTGGAAGGGGAGTTGAGAAAAGCTCAAGGAAATGGGCTTGGCTTCTCGTTCCATCACAAAGCCATGCTCGGGAGCTCACTTAGCTCAGAAGCGTTGCTCAAAGTTGACAATGATGGCAAAGTCTCAAGCACACGACGGCATGAACGCGCATTCTGAAGTGCCAGAAATGAGAGTGCTTTAAAATTGAAATAAAAGCTACTTGGCAAGGGGCAAAAAGAGGCGAACGTGAAATGGGGTCATTTTCACATTTTGCCACTTGGCTTACAACCCCGCGCCCCACCCGGGCCTGGTCGGGTCGAGCCGCAGATTGCTGTCAATAAGATGCCGGTGTGCATGAAGCCCACCCCCTTCAAGTGTCGGAAAAAAGAGGAAATATGCGTCCGGAGAAAGAACTGCCCTGGTCGTCAGCGTCAGCAGTGTCGTCTTTGCCGGGGACGGGTCCATGGGTGGGAAGCACTTTTGTCGCTATTCATCTAGAATATTGGTTGCGTCGCTTAACAATGAGAAAGGAAAAGGCAAAAATCGGTAATGCTTTTAAGTAATATTCGATTGTGTATGGTTGAGGGATTCCCTGATGGATATGAGGGAGGGAGTGAAATTTGTGATTCGTTGGAAGTGGATTTGATTTTTTTTTATATATTTTTGTTAGCAATTGCGGATGACTCTCAATTTGCAATCCTAGCTTTACAACGGATTTCCTAGTAATCTTCAAAGCAGATAAAAACAACTCAAGTTCTGTCTGAGCATTTATCTACAAATGGTCAGAAACTAATCCGGGTTCTACTGAGGATAAAATAGCAGGATTTTTTTACTCTGGAAAAATCAGGAGCTTGTTTCAAAAGATCTTGTCTAAGAGAATATTAAAAATTATTATTTGGATAAAATCAAAGCCACAATAATTCAGAAATTTTCCCGCGAAACGAAAATACTGAATACTGAAATTTTTAAACCACAAAAAATCATCCACGCTAGTAGTAAACTTCTCCCCCCGTCAATCTCAAAGAACTGCTCCATACATTATTACGAGCAACCTGTTGCTACCGGAAGCTGTGGCCACTCGTTCTGCCACTGCTACTTATTCCTCCCCATAGATCATCCCTTCGCATTCACATACACGTTTCCACATTTACTTTTACGCTGCTCTGCACAATCCGGTATGATTTGTTGCGCTCTAGTGCTGCCGCTAGTCACATCTCACTTCTTCCGATTCCGATTTCGCCGGCAGAGCTGCGGGTGAACGTGACAGATTTCGTACGATTCATTTCCTCCCGTGTTCGCTTCCTTTCGTCGCAAAATCCACAATCAGATGCTGGGAATCGCTCTGGACGGGGGGTGTGAGTAGTCGCCACAAAGCCAAAGTTGAGTGGCTCGCCTAGAAGAAAACGGAAATTTCCTCTTTTCCTTCCGCCGTCTTCTAATCGTGTGCTTTCTTCTTTCGCTGCAATCTCAACCTCCATCCAGTTTTTTTTCCTTCTTAATTTCGAAGGAAATCGGGGTGTGTGTAGATGACGACTTTCGGCCTTGTTATCCTCACGCATCGTCACATATAACCGTCCATCCAGTTGGACCGTATTGCTTGATGCCGGTTAACCATGCCAGCCAGCAGAGAGGATCGTCGTAGGTTTGTATTTTTTCTATATGTTCACTCAACCGCGAAGCAGGTCTTCATAGTTCTCGTCGTCGTCACGCTGCCTGGTCGCCGGCTGGGGGAGTGGCTCGCCTCCTCTACTACGGGAGGATTAGGTGTGATTTCACTTAAACTACTTCGCGGATGTGAGTTGGTGACGCGGAGCGGAACTAGATGAGATTTCTTGGACTTTATCAAGAACTTGTGGTGAACGAAATGGGAGAACGGAATGGGAGGCATGAAATCCGCTTGATCCCTGTGCTATGGGGTATTATAAATTATTATAGCTTTCAACAAGTGGTAATGGATCTGCTTTAGCGTTGCTTTTATCATTTTTTTTCCTTTATCGAGCTTTCCTTTTCTTTAATAGTTAAAATTTAAGAACGTTTGTTTGACACTGTGGGCACATTTTAGGTAGTTGTACCAACCGGTGGAAACTTAAGATTTTAAATTGGCTTACTGTTTGACTAGCCTATTGGTCCCAAGCAAAACGATTAACGTACCCCATTCTAGTCGAAATTCTAGTACTACACTATGTTTGTTTTGATTCGCTATGAAAGTTTGACAGATAAAATGAGGGGTTCGTGGATTTTCCTATGTTTCGAGGGGTGCATCGATTAGCTTGGGACCGAAGAGAGTACCAGAGCTGAGCCAAAAAGTTGAACACGTTTCTTCGGGATCTTCAAGTCTCAGAGTTACCTATATGGTTTTACTGTCTTACCTGACCCATGACGAATATACGTAGTATCCACAAGATATGGTCCCACGGATGCAATGTATATTAGTTATGAGTTAGGTTGGACAGTGGGTGTACCGAAAAACTTGAATCACATGAAAAAGAAAATTATAGGCCTTAGGTCAGATTGTGTTTTAGGAATATTCATCTTTCGAAGAACTGGTCTTCTTCTTCTCCGCATTCCAAGCTTATTGCTTATCGTATATTCGCTTATTGCGTGCTCTCAACTTAGTGTTCAAGATGCACTTACACAGTTATTAATTGAGAGCTTTCGATGCCTGTAGCATTTTTTCATTAGTATAATTGTGTGGCAAGTACAATTCTACTCTATACCCAGGGAAGTCGAGAAATTTTCAAACCCGAAAAATGCCTAGACCGAACTCAGCCACCTCCAGCATGATCTTGCTTTGTAGCTGCGCCTTTACCGACTTAGCTAAGGGAGGCCCCGAAAAACTGTATTGAATTTATTTCCGATCAGACATTTGGTTCTGAAATTGGCGTAACTACCCGACCGGATTGGAATAACTAAATTTTATATTGTTTGGATAAGTTTTAATTTTATTATTATTATTATTATTTTATTTTATTTGTTTTTCTTTACGCATATTTTTTTTTTCCTTTTTTATACCGAAATCTGTTGCGGAGGTACTTAAGACCTCGCAATGGATGAAATCTATGATGGCGGGGGTATTTCGCTAGCAGATATCTCCGTTGATGAGGCTGTTAAATCTCTATCATTCGAAAATCTGCTTCTTACTGAAGAGAAAATGGATACCTCAGGGGATTCTACTTCAGACCCAAAACGAGCACTGGAGCTTACCCAAAGGTGATGTCTAAACAACAGCCTCCTTCACTCCCTGACCCCCTTTCTACACCATCGCCCCCTCGTCCACCTGTTCCCCCCTACTCCAACCGTTCCCTTAAAAAATTCTGCGACCCCCCGCCATAAAGCTTACCCAAGCGGCTGAAAAGGTCCGTGGGTTGTTTTTTCCGGCCCAAACAAAAACCTTTGAATATTTTTAAGGTGACGCCAAACAAACTGTGCGTTACCGTTGATGACCAGGCAAACCGGATTGTTGCCTATGAGCTTTTTATGATGGAATATCGAGTCTACATCCCCAGTTGCGACGTAGAAATCGAAGGAGTGGTCACCGAAGCGAGTCTAAGTTGAGAAGATTTCCTTCATGCCGAATCCTTCGGTATTTAAAAAAAACCGTGCCCTTCCGAAAGTGAAGATTCTGGATTGCATCCAAATGCAATCAGTGTATCTCGTTGGCACGAAAAAACGTATTCTCTGTCAGACTCGTTCCGTGTGATCTTTTCAGAATCAGCGCTACCTGACTACGTCGTAATTGGGAAGGTTCGACTGCCCGTACGCTTGTTTGTACCGCGAGTAATGAACTGCTCGAAATGCAAGTAACTTGGTCACACCGCTGACTTCTGCTCCAACAAACCGAGCTGCGATCAATGCGGTGAACTGCATGCAGATGATCCTTGCCGGGCTTCCCCAAAACGTGTTTACTGCAAGGATACTCTGCATGCTTTGGTTGATTGCCCGAAGTACAAACAGCAGGAAGAAAATCTTAAGCGGTCTTTGCAAGCTCGCTCCAAGAGGTCACTTGCAGAACTCTTAAAAAATCCCGCTTCATCTTCCCAAACCACCCCAAAAAGCAAAAACACATACTCCATTTTGCCAGATGATGATCAGGGCTTTGACTTAGAGGTCGGTGAAGGTAGTTACTCTGTCAGGCAATACGAGGAAGCGATTAAAAAAACGTCACTCAAAATCCTCGTAAGACCTCTCGTATGGACTCTCAACCTACCTTGACAAATTTAAGAGGTTTTCGGAAATGTAATGTTTTAATTTTAACAAGGACTTCCGACCACTTCCGGGATCATCTAAAGCCCCAGATATACCTTTTTTCAGCCAGAAGAACAGCTGAAAATCAGCAAGAATATGCTGCCATGTTCATGTTTTCTGGAATTGTGGATAGCATCTTCAATATATTCAACGTCTCTGACTCAACGAGGAACATTATTAATTTAGTGCTTCCAATTGTCAAAACTCTTGAAGCAACTACCTTCCAGGTGGTCCTTTCTTGCATCGATAGAATAACATCTGCGTCGATCCAGTGTACCACTCTGCTAATCTCGAAATAGTGATTATTCAACACCGTTTGCACAAGCCTCGCTCCGAGAACGGCGGCCAAGAGCTCCAGACGAGGAATCGACAACTGTTTCAATGATGCCCCCTTGGTCCGGCTCATCACCACTGCACATTTCACCTCACCTTGCACTATCGCCCGAAAATAGGCCACGCATCCGTAAGCCGTCTCGCTTGCGCCAGTGAAGATGTGCAGCTCCACATCTCGGATCTCAGTCGACTTCGCATTGCCAAAATAATTCCGGCCGATCTTGAATGATTAGATGTCACGCCATAGTTGAGTCCAATGCAGCCAGTTCTTGAACGCAACGTCG